AGACCCAATTGGAATCACTCTATTGATTGTTCAACTGATAAATTAGTCCATGATTATTCTTTTTAACCATTGGAATCTTGGTTTGGTAGAAATGAACCTAAGTATCAAAATTCCTTAAGTATTTAAAAATGTGAGGACAAATTCAAATCATATATAAACTTTAAATAAAGAACTGGAATATAACTACCACCAGGGAATATTAACAAACCCAGTGTAAACAAAACACAATGTTTCTTTTTAACTCTATTGACAGCATTAGCCAATCAGTTGAAACGTCCCTACAAATCCAATCATGAGCAGCTTAAGTCCTAAAAATGTCATAATAGACTTCTAGTTTTATCTCCAAAATTTAAAGAGCCTGGAAGTTGTCACATACTGTCTTTCAACAAGAAAAAAAGACAAACAAACTGAAATTAATGACTTTCTTGGACCATCAGAGAATTAAAGTCACGGAGCAAATTTCTAGATTTCAGTCACCTGAAATCTAGAGAGATGCAAATACAGAGGACCACACCTGAGATATACTTACTTGGAGCAGAAGTTGCTGAAGCCATGAACTGGTAGGAACACTTTAAGGGTAATTTTGATGAACTCTAGAGGCTCAGTATAGACTAGCATGCGAGTAAGAAACTCCTTGGAGAAGGTGCCATCTTATGAGGCCCCCTGCACTCTTGTGGGTTTTACCTCCAGGAACCCCACAAAGTTCTCATTATGAAGAGCCAAGGGATATATCTTCATGGCTCTGGAAGGGGGCAGGGAAAAAGAACCATTTTCAAATATTTCCAGAATATTCTTCATAACAAATGCCTACTTTCCAAAGGAAAAGACTTTATTAGAGCCTTATTTCACTTGGGAGTAGGGCAATTACCCAACTCTAGCCACTTCTAGCCTTCCCATCTCAGCTAAGGGGATGAGGGAGGTAAGAAACACTGTGAAGATCACAGACTGTTGACAAAGTCCCACTAAAAGACTAAAATTTAATTGTAAGATTATCGAATGCTTCCTCTCTCATATCTTAACACTATATCATTAGGACTCCAGTATATTAGCAGCGGATTATAGCTATGAGAACTAAAATGTCTGGACTTTGTATAAGAAAGAGTTATTAGGAAAAGCCTAAGACAACAGAGGGGACAAAAACAAGGAAGCTAGAGAAATTTAATGTCTCTGACACCTACAGCTATAGCAAATTTTAGACACAGCCCAATTCCAAGGAAAATTAACATAAAACTTTATACTAAAGCCCTATTTAACTTTGTCCCTCTTATCTGGCACACCATATCCAGCTTTCAAGAAAAAGCCACAAATCATGCTAGCAGACAAGGAAAAGCACAGTCTGAAGAGACAAAGCAGGCATCACAACAAAATTCAGATATGACAGAGATTTTGGAAGTATCAGGCAGGGAATTTAAATTACATACATTAAGGACCCCAATGGAAAAAGCAGACAGCATGCAAGAACAGATGGGTGATGTAAGTAGAGAGATGGAAACTCTAAGAAAAATGTATTAAAATAAAATAAAATGGGCTCATCAGTAGACTGGACATGGCCAGGGAGAGAATCAGTGAACTTGAAGATATGCCAATAGAAACTTCCCAAACTGCAAGGCAAAAAGGAAAAAAGAATGAAAAAAGCAAAACAGAATATGCAATAACTGTGGAACAATTACACAAAGCATAGCATACATGTAATGGGAATACCAGGGAAAGAAAGAGAAAAAGGAACACAAGAATTATTTGAAGTAACAATGGCTGGGAATTTTCTAAAATTAGCGAAAGACAAAACCCAGAGATCCAACCAAACACCATGCAAGATAAATACCAAAAAGTTTCTATCTAGGTGTGTCATATTCAAGCTGCAAAAAACTAAGGAAAGGGGGATTGCTTGGAAAATGGTGGTGTAAGAGGACTCTGAACTCACCCCCCTCCCATGGACACAAGAAATTTACAACTACCCTTTTGAACAATTACCGCTGAGAGAGAATGGAAAACTGGATAAAAAGAACCCCCACAACAAGAGACAGTGCTGACTGAAGTGAAAGAGGCAGAAATTCCTTTCTGGAGAGAAAAGAGCCACCTTCTAGCCATGGGGTTTCACAGCCAGGAGCAATCTTAAGGTACAAAGCCTTCCCTGGAGAAGTAGGGGATCTGAGCAGGGAGCGTCACTGCTGTAAGCAGCTTTTGGACTCAGCACAATTGAGACGAGTGTCATAATATCTAGCTTTGCTGGCTATTAACAACAATGAGGAATACCCCTAGAAAAGCTATAGAAAATAAGGGAAAGAAAAAGCATGCTCCTAAAGGGCCCCCACACAAAATCATCCATTTCAAAAAGTAACCTAAAATCACCAGAAAGAAAGATGCACAGTCCTGTGGTGAAAAGAGACTCTCCTGATAGGCTCTGGTGCATCTCAGTGTGAGGCAAGACTCAGGGACTGAGACATTGGCAGCAGCCATTATTGTGACCTACCACAGGTGTGCTGACACAAATGCTGACAGATGCCATTGGAGCTCTTCCCCTGGCCCACTCATGCAGAGGTCTGCCCCACCAACTAGAGCACCAATTTAATCCAGATCAGCCAGGGCAGTCAGTTTGCCCCCAGGACTGGCTTTACCCAACAGCAAGCTCTTGGGCATCTTGTGGGCCAGCTGCACCCCTGGGTCCACTTCAGTGGGTCAGGGCATGTGCTCGGGGCAGGACTGCATTGATGGAACGTGTGGGCCTCTGGGCGGTGGGGCTTGTCAGCTGCAGCAGACCTGTGCTTCGCAAGCAACCACATAGGGGATCAGCCTCACATTCCAATGCCTAAGACAATTGGGTGCTCCCATGCCTGGGGCTGGCCCCACCCAGCTGCACTCCTGAGAGAGCTGAATATAGCCTTGCAGGCCAGAGACCTACAACAATTGTAAGTCCCTGAGCCTAGAAACCAGCCATGCTGTGGGCCTACTCACTTAACAGAAAAACTACAGCACGAATGTGCTATTAGACCTTGCAGCCAACTAACTGTGCTGGGGCTCCCCACACCTGATAAAGTGACTGAGGGACAATAGCAGCCGCACACAGCTGAGCACTACAACCAGCCGGCCAAGGGGACAGCCTAGACTCCCTGTGCACCTGCAGCAAAAGCAACCCTGCCACAACAGAAGGACACACATAGCCCACACAGGGGACACTCCTGGAACATTTGGAACTGGTGGCGAGAGAGAAGCACGCTGCAGGGCCTCATAAAGCATCTCTTACAGAAGGCCACCTCTCCAAGATCGGGAGAGGTAGCTGATCTACCTAATACATAGATCTAAGCACAGAAAAAGAGGCAAAATGAGGAGACACAGGAATATGTTCTAAATAAGGGAACAGGATAAATCCTCAGAAAAAGAACTAAATGAAACAGAGATAAACAATGTACCTGATAAAGAGTACAAATTAATAGTCATACGAATACTCACTGATCTTGGGAGAGGAATGGATGAATTCAGTGAGAAGAAAGAATTGGAAAATACGAAAAAGAACCAATCAGAAATGAAGAATACAATAATAGAAATGAAAAATTCACTAGAGAGACTCAATAGCAGAGTAGATGATAACAGAAGAACAGATCAGCGAGCTGGACTAAAGATTAGAGGAAATCAACCAAGCTGAACAGATAAAAGAAAAAAGAATTAAAAAGAACAAGAACAGTCTAAGGGAACTCTGGGACAACATCAAGCGCACTGTTCCACTGCACGCCCAGCTGGGTCAGCAGTGCGGGATAGGTTGCTGAGAGACCAAAGAAAAGACTCAGCGATGGCAAATGAGACATATGGGTTTACTGGGAATTACTTATAGGGAACAGCCAGTGGCGGCTGGCTGCATAGAAGTGTCTACCTGCTATCGCCCCCTGAGAGAAGCTTGCTTGCAGAGTAACAAAGGCTGCATGCTTGCCAAGGGGGACTGTCCCCGTGTGACCTGCATTCCAAGGACCAGAGCTCCCTGCAGAGGGCCTCCATGTTCCCTCAGGCTGCGGTGGTCTTTGTGCTAACTATCCCATGAGAAACAGCTGGGCTGGCCAAGCCCAGGATTGTTATCATCATAAGTGCTGGTTTGTAGCACAGATAAGGGGCTTCAAGGACGCATGGCTTAAAGGGCATGTAGGCTAGTGACCCTATATTCCATGACCCATGTGTCCAAAAGGCCCTTACAATTTTATCATGCCAATCTTCCTTGGCTTCCCTCAAGCTAGAAATAGAGAGGAACACTGTAGCCAGAGACCACAATAGCAATAGAGAGCACAATATCAAAATAATAGAAAAACTCAAGGACACCAAAGACAACATGTCACCAGGAGGAGGGGAGGGATTGTATCCAAGTGGATAATGGGTCAGTGGACAGGTTGTCAGTGGCCTGTACATGAGTAGGTAGGGAGGCCATCACAGAGGAAACATTATAGGCATAATCAGGGATATACACACAGCATCCTACTTCCATCAGCGCACAGGTTCCCCTTTGCGCTGTGGTAAGCATGTCCAAAGCCATCCTATTTTGTAACACTACCTGTCTCATTTGGGAGGTTTCTTTATTTAGTAGAGTTATTGCATATCTGGTATCATTGAGAGCTGTCACCACATGTGGGGCTAAGGCAGACACTTGCCATTCTACATCTACAGCCTGTGGGGAAAAGATAGTGAGGGGGTAAAGCCACCCTGCAGTGCATCACACAAGATGGCGTACATAGACTGCCTCCCAATTAGAAGGAAGCTGTTGAAGGGAAGACAAGATGCATGCAGGGATGTAGGGGGGCCCTGATGGGCATTTGCCAGTCCAATTATAAGGCAGATAGGGCCAGCTGTGAATGCCACGAGCCTATAATCACCCCCAAGGAGAGGCATAGGCTCCTCTGATGATGTTGTCTCATTTTCCCAGCCACATAGCAGCAGTAGTGATAATTGTTTGGTTACACATTGCTTTAGGCATTCACCCCACATTTTTTGAGATGATTTCATTTGGTGGTATGGAGTTATTATGACGTTCAATGCACCAAGGAAGGGAACCTCTTATTTCTATTTGTACAGCAGTCAATCATCCTACGCCATCAAAAACAGAGTACCCCACCTTTGGGGTTGTATTAACTACCCACGCACAAGCTGAAAGATACACTTTTGAGAGGCAGCATAAGAGGGCAAGGACAGGTTACTTGGTGGGAGGGGAGCAGAAATGGGAAAGTGGGTGGCATTTCTCCATTCTCACAGGGCTCTCCAGTCAGAGGTGTTGGCAGCTTGGAGACACCATGGTAACTCCCATGATTGAAGAGAGAGGCAGCTCGTTGCATATCCGTAGGTTGGAGCCATTTTGTATGTCAGCAACGGCCCAAGCAGCAAAAAGGTTGGCAGACATCCTTGGGGAATTGGAGGCCCTGGATTAGTAAATTTGGAGGTTTTGGGTGGCACCCCCACAATGAACAGTGTTACTGTGATGTCCTGTTCTAACCTTGTCCCCAAGGGGCCAAGAGACCACACCAGCGGGGCCCCACCTGCTAGTCCCAAGGCCAAGTGATCATCTGGTCTGGTACGGAGTTCTTGTGGCAGAGGCAAAAGCAAGCTGTTCTGAGTGCCCATCTGTGGCTGTAGTGTCTCTCCTTGATTAGCCCTTGTCTGTAGATGTACTGTCATATCATCTTTGTGTCAACATCTGATACGCACTAGGTCGAATGCGTCTCTCAAGTTCATTCAGTTGATGTATTGCAGTTGTCAAGCATCTTGTCCAGTGGGCAAGGGTCCTGTCTTCTGTCCTCAGTTGTTGTTTCAGCAAGCCGTTCATTTGTTCTATCATCCTCATGGCCACGGGGTTGTATGGCAGGTGAAAATGCCAACGTATGTCCATTTGATCAGCCCATGTCTGTACCTTGTGGCCAGTTAAATGCATACCTTGGTCACTGTCTATGTCTGTGGGAATACCATACACAGCACAAAGGAGTTCTAGGTCTCTTATGGTGGTCTTTTGTGTGGCCCTCTTGCTGAGGTATGCCTGCAGCAGTCCTGTATGTGTCCACACAAGTAAGGGCGTACTGGGAGCCATCAGAAAGAGGCAAGGGCCCGAGGTAGTCCAGCTGCCAGTGTTGAGTGGGCTGGTTGCCTCTGGCTATTTGGCCTGTGTCCTGGGGAATGCCCCAGGGTCTCTGCAAGGAACAAGGAGGGCACGTCTGACAGACCTGCACCACATCAGCATAGCGCAGGGGGAGGCCCCAGGCCTTGGCAATAGCCCATAGAGTCCTGTGTCCTTCATGTCCAGTCTTTTTGTGTAGCCATTATGCTGGTACTTCCTCTAGGAGCAGATCCAAACTAACTCGTCTGCTTGTTGGTTTCCTGGTGGTGTTGTCACCTGATGTGTAGACACAAGTTATACCGTTATCATTCCTCGGACCCAGTGGCTTGGACTCATCTCAGAGTTTTGCCCCCATAACGGGTGACCATTAATAGTCCACTTTTGTCTCACCCATTGCACCATCCACAGGTTGAGCCCTTTATAGATTGCCCAACTGCCCATGCACAGACATATTGGATGAGGCTCATGAGTCAACACCACCTAGGCAGACTGCAAATCTGCCCATTGACTATTGTACCCAGAGCCAGAATTCAACCACATGCTGTTGGTCGAAGGCTGGATGGCCACTGCTGTCCACTGGAGGTGGTTGTCCTTTGCAGAGCCATCTGTATATTAGAAATCTGCCAGGATTGGTTCTTCTTCTTCCTGTACATTTGGCAGGGTTTCAGGCATGGGCACCTCATCCAATGGGGTGTTTCTCCTGTGGTATATGTTACCGGTCCTGGGATGGCATGCAATTCTGCACTGAGGGGACTACTGACGAGGGTCCTTCCTTGTTGTGAGTGTGCTGCCATTTTGCCAATGTCTGTGTTTGGGCTGTTCCTGAGTGGGTTTTTTGGAAAGCATCTTGCAGCCACCGAGCAATGGGCAGATGAGTATGGACTGTAACCAGCAGGGAACGGGTTATGGGCTACACCTGCTGGAGGGCCAGCTAAACAGCACACAATTGTTGTTGGCAGGTCACTATACTGGTTTTCAGCCTCTTTTCACAATTGGGACCAGAAGCCAAGGGGCACTGGTTTATTGCTTCGCCCCTCCCAGAGACCCTGTTTGAACTCCTCTGAGTAATTGGAAATGTCCAATTCACACGGTTGTCCTTGTGTTAAAATACCAAGGAGGCGCCGGCCCGGTGGCATAGTGGTTAAGTTCACATGCTCTGGCTGCAGCAGCCTGGGGTTTGCAGGTGTGGATCCCGGGCGCCCATCAAGGCATGCTGTGGTGGCATCCCATGTACAAAATAGAGGAGGATGGGCACAGATGTTAGCTCAGGGCCAATCTTCCTCACCAAAAACAAAACAAAACAAAAAACACCCAAGGACTGGATTTGTTTCATTGCTATTTTGGCTTGGGTGAAGGTCTCTTGCTGAGTGGTCCCCCAGTCCCAGATAATACCCTTTATCCTACCTATAACAGCAGCAGGAACCACTTTTGTAGCAGAGAGAGCAGTTAAGTTATGCAGTTAAGCAGTTAATCCCATTTACAATTGCAAACAAAAAGAATAAAATACCTAGGAATAAGCTTAACGGAAGAGGTGAAACACCTGTGCAGTGAAAACTATAAAACATCGTTGAAAGAAATAAAAAAAGACACAAAGAAATGCAAAGATATTCCGTGCACTTGGATTGGAAGAACCAACATAGTTTAAATGTCTCTACTTCCTAAAGCAATCCACAGATTCAGTGCAATCCCTATCAAAGTTCCAACGACATTTTTCAAGGAAATAGAACAAAGAATCCTAAAATTTATATGGAACAATAAAAGACCCTGAATAGCCAAAGGAATCCTGAGAAAAAAGAACAAAGCTGGAGGCATCACACTCCCTGATTTCAAAATATACTACAAAGCTATAGTAACCAAAACTGGCACAAAAGGAGACACACAGATCAATGGAACAGAATTGAGAGCCCAGAAATAAACCCACATATCTATGGACAGCTAATTTTCGACAAGGGAGCCAAGAACATACAATGGAGAAAGGAAAGTCTCTTCAATAAATGGTGTTGGGAAAACTGGATAGCCACATGCAAAAGAATGAAAGTAGACCATTATCTTACACCATACACAAAAATTAACTCAAAATGGATTAAAGACTTGGATATAAGACCTGAAACCATAAGACTTCTAGAAGAAAACAGTACACTCTGACATTGGTCTTAGCAACATATTTTCAAATACCAGGGCTGACCAGGCAAGGGAAATAATAGAAAAAATAACAAATGGGACTACATCAAACTAAAAAGCTTCTTCACAGCAAAGGAAACCATCAACAAAATGAAAAGACAGCACACCAACTGGGAGAAAATATTTTCAAATTGTATATCTCATATGGGGTTAATTTCCAAAATATATAAAGAACTCAAACAACTCAACAACAAAAAGACAAACAACCCAATCAAAAAAATGGGCAGAGGATATAAACAGACATTTTTCCAAAGAAGATATACAGATGGCCCAATAGGCACAGGAAAACTGGACAGCCACATGCAAAAAATTAAACTGGACCACTCTTTTATACTATACACAAAAATCAACTCAAATTAGATTAAAGACTTGAACGTAAGATCTGAAGCCATAAAACTCTTAGGAGAAATCCTATGGGTTAAGCTCCTAGATATTAGTCTTGGCAGTGATTTTTTGGATTTAACACCAAAAGCCAAGGCAACAAAAGCAAAAATAAACGAGTGGGAATACATCACACTAAAAAGCTCTGTATGGCAAAAGAAACAAACAAAATAAAGAGGTAACCAATAAAATAAAGAGGTAACCTACAAAATGGGAGAAAATATATGCAAATCATATATCTCATAAGGGGTTAATATCCAAAATATGTAAAGAACTCATACAACTCAACAGAAAAGAAACCCAAACAACTCAATTAAAAAATGGACAGAGGGACCAGTCTGGTGGCAGAGTGGTTAAGTTCTCATGCTATGCTTTGATGGCCCAGGGTTTGCAGGTTCGGGTCCCAGGCATGGATCTACACACCTCTCATCAAGCCATGCTATCATGACAATCCACATATAAAATAGAAGAAGATGGGCACAGATGTTAGCTCAGGGACAATCTTTCTCAGCAAAAAGAGGAAGATTAGCAACAGCTATTAGCTCAGGGCAAACTTTCCTCAGCAAAAAAATAAAAAAAAATTACTCTAGATTTAACAATTTAAATAAGCCCCTACGACACTGACAATCTTGATGTAGAAGAATGGTTTTCTTCTGGGAAATTTTACATTTATGTGTTTAAATTCCACTTTAGTATACTGTTATTGTCCTTTATTCTTTAAAAAGCCATGGAAACTTTTATTTTTCAGCCTACTATCTTTACGTTTAGCTATTAAGCTTTAGCATATCAAACTGCTGAATTTAGGCTTTATCTATCTGTCTCACTTTCTCCCTTAATATTCTTTATCAGTTTATAATCCTCATTTCTCATTTTAGGTAGAACACAAAACAATTTCTCCCTTCAGTTTCATGATTTGTGAACAAAAACTGAAGTGAAAGCTTGGAGGATGACTCTCTCAGAAAGTACCTTTGCAGTACTCCTGTGATTGTATACCTATCAGGCAAGAAGACTAATTTGACTGCGTCCTCATTCCGTCCTCTCTGTGTGGGCTCAGATCTCTGGCGGTGGAAAGGAGCAGGTAAAGCAAATAAGCAGAGGGCCAGCCAAAGTCATTACCAAACCACACCCACTAACTGTGTGCTAGCAGTTTCTACTTGAGGGTTACTTCTGAACAGCAATGTCATCAAGTAGAAGAAATGAAAAAATGTGGATAAACACATATTTGGTTTATCGACATGGGTCTTACCGTATCTACATGAGAAACAAAAGGCAAACATCAATTTCAAGATATTGTTCAGAATTTTAATTCTCAGATTCAAACTTCTTATAATTTTTTTGTGAGGAAGAGTAGCCCTGAGCTAACATCCAATGCCAATCCTCTTCTTTTTGCTGAGGAAGATTGGCCCTGGGCTAACATCCATGCCCATCTTCCTCTACTTTATATGGGATGCCGCCACAGCGTGGCTTGACAAGCGGTGCATTGGTGTACGCCCGGGATCCGAAACTGCGAACCCCGGGCCGCTGAAGCAGAAAGCGCACACTTAACCTCTAAGCCACCAGGCTGGCCCCTCAAACTTCTTTTTAATTTAAAATTCAAACTCCTCTATTGAATGTGCCCTTTAGACAAATTCCCCTCAAATTCAAACCTAGTTCCTTTCTTTCTCTTGTAGCCGCATGAATATACATATTTTCCAAACCCAAGTCTCCAAGTATGTTGTTAACTGATACATAACTTTCTAGTGACAAAAATCATCTTTATCCATATCTACTAATTCCTACATTGTATTTCCACCAACCAAAATTAACCAGTAGCACATATACATTCCATTTTACACCAGGAATCCCTTAAAGGCTAATTTTCTATATTTTGTAATTAATTTCAAGTTTGTCTCTTTCTCTATTTAAAAAATCCCTCATGGTTAGTACTCACTATTATTTATACATAATCTCTCTCTCACACACACACACATACACAAACACACATACACACTCACAAAGAGAGAGAGAAAAAATGTTTTGGTGAATTAATCAATGTGTTTTTCTTAGTTTATATTTTATTTTATTTTTTTCCACATTTTCTTCATTGAGATGGCAACATATGAGGCTTTCAGTACCTAATGAAGAGAGACTATAATCACAGAGTAAAGATGTAAAATTCTTGGCTTATAACTTCAAATATTACAACCCAGGTGTAAGCTAAGTAAAGACTTTGAATGATATTAAGTAGAACCGTTTTTCCCACACTTCTCTTCCCCTTTGTCTCAAGCTAAATGAAAATCTTCCAATGAGATGAAGGAGAAAGTCTAAGGAGGAAACAAAATGGTCAGATACTAGTAAGATGTAAGAAAGCAGTTCCCCCATTACAAAATTAGCCACAAAGCATGGAGTGATGAAAAATAAATACCAGGAATCAAGAATAGGTAAGACCTATTGTCTGTTCATACCTGACTGTCCGGAGACCCCGAAAATCTCCCAGAATCCCCTGGGCCTAGCAGATGATCTTGGAGCATCCTAACAGATAGATCACATATGGTTTGGCCAGATACAAAGAGCAGTCTAATATTTCCTGAACTAGCAGAGAGTGAGGTAGAGGTGAAATAGAGGGCAAGTGGCCCTGAGGATGTCTTACAATTGTGGCTAGAAGAATCTAGAGAAGAAAACAGATTGGACCATAAAACTAGTAACCAGAACAGAGTTAGTGGGTTATCTCAGGTGATATCAAGAAGGTCTCTGCCTGAGGATGAGGAGACTAGGATACAAGCAGAGGACAAAGCACATTCACAGCCCAGAGCCTTTGTTCCCTCCTCACTCTATGTAGAAGTCATATAAACCCCTTAGGGTTGAGAGAAAATTCCAGAGAAAAGGAAGAAGGCAAAATCTTGAATCTCCTGAGTGTAAATTTGAAGTGAGCGAAAATACTGAAATAGCTGAGTTTAAATTGAATTGCCTACAATTATCTCTTTAACGTGAGGTAGAAAAAGGGCTTGAGATACGTTAAATTACATAAAGCCAAGGAGGTGCATGTCTACCAGTCTCTATTTTTTAATGTCATAAATTATTTAACTAATTATAAAGTTTATCACCCTGCATTTCTCTTTATTATAATGATGTTACTCTGATATAATTCACATACGTTATGTTCAGCCTTTTAAGGTGTATAATTCAGTGATTTTGAGCTTATTCACAGAGTTATGCAACCATCACCACTAACTACAGAATATATTTATGCCTCCCAAAGAAACCCTGTACCCATTAGCAATCACTCCCAGTGGGAGTGTCTCCTACTCCCAGATGCTGGCAACCACTAATCTACTTTCCATTTATGTAGATATGCCTGTTATAGACATTTCATATAAATGGAATCATACAATATGTGGCTTTTTGTGTCTGGCTTCATTCACTTAGCATGTTTCCAAGGTTCATCCATGTTGTAACAGGTATCAGTATTTCATTTATTTGTATTGCCAAATGTTCCATTGTGTGGCTGTGCCACGTTTTGTTTATCCACTTATCAGTTGATGGACATTTAGGTCGTTTCTACCTTTTGACTATTATGAATAATGTTACTGTGAACATTCATGTCAAGTTCTTATGCGGACATATTTCATGTTTCTTGAGTGTATAACTAGGAGTGGAATTGCTGGGTCATATGTTAACTCTATTATTAACATTTTGAAGGACTGTCAAACTGTTTTCCAAAATGGCTGCACCATTTGACATCTCACCAGCAATATACGACTTCTGTTTTCTCCATATCTTGACGGTACATATTATTGTCCATCTTTGTGGTTATAGTCAACCGAGTGGGTGTGAAGTGATATCTTGTGGTTTTGATATTCATTGCCCTGATGGCTAATCATATTGAGCATCTTTTCATGTGCTTATTGGCCATTTGTGGTTTTTTTGGAGAACTGTCTATTTAGATCCTTTGCATCTCTCCCTTTCAATGTAGAGATACTCATTTCTTTGCCTTGATTGTCTCTGACCTGCTCAATTTGGAGTCTGTTCCATGTAGTTTCTCCTTATTGTGGGGCTTTGTCCTGATAGCGACTTCTTTGTTCAGTTTTGAGTTTGTAAAGACCAGACTCCAGGTCCTTCAGATCTTACCATCAACAGCTTATACTTAGTTGCAAATGGGAGTGTGCAAACTCTACTCAGTTTCAAATGCCCTTTTCAAATTTGACCCGCTTCAATTTCCATTGAGAACCTGATGACTACTTTAAGGTTCTCCTGTTCTCTGGACCATAAATTCCTGTTTTGCTTCCTTCTGCTTGCTTTTGCACAGAGGTGAGGCAATACCACACAGGTCTTACAGCTATTGGTGATTTTTCCTACTCTGTTATATTGGGGTGGGGGGCTGCATTTTGTATGTGTCTGGGGCATTCTGTCACTTAGTTTTGTTATAGATATTATTCACGGCCTTTATATTTTGCTATCTTACCTGCTCTGTCTGTTTTTACACTAGATTAAAAACTTATTCTTGGCCTCTACCGTATTCCAAGAATTCTCTGTATTGAGCTGTATCCAAATGCCATGTAAGAGTAGTTGCAACTCCTCCACATTCTTACATGTTTATAAGTTGCACCTATGCAATCCTTTGTGATTGTCTGACGTGAAGATTTCATCTGGATTTTACTTTCATGGATTGAAAGTTTTGTTCATTTATAACTCCAGAGACTTTCAAATGATTTGTGCCATATTTTTCTCAATTATTAATTATCTCTCTGGTAACTAGACCATATTTTGAATAAATAATTTCAAAATGAACATGTAAGAGAGTGTATTTTCTGAAATGTCACATACTTCAGAAATCTTCCTGTTAACTTGATCCATAAATGAATAAAATACTTGGTTCACAATATTTTCCTGTTAATATTCCCCACAGTTCTCAATTGAATTGGGAATTTAAAATTTTAGAGAACACAGAGGTCAGTGTTATTTTATTTCTCTTTATATATTCTATCTTTTGGCAAGAACCAAATTTTTAAGGAATCATTTAACATTGGTCTTGGTCATTTAACATTTTTCTACACCAATATGTCTTAACTGTCCTGCAGATTATGGTGAAAGCTATTTTTATGCATCTTCATGGGTCTTTTGTCAGCTCAGTGAAGTTTTATTTAATTATGTTTTTCACAGTGCTCAGTTTCAGATGTGATATTTTCATTCTCAGAAATTTCTACTTAAGAGTTTTAGTTTTAATCTCTATTTATTTCATATTTACCATTTTATTTCTTTGCATTTTAATTTCCATTTTTTAAATGCACATTCCTATAATCAAAACACTTCTTTATCTTTTTCCGGTGTAATTCTAATCATAATTTCAACTGATGCAAATTTTAACTCAGATATTGCATTTTAGTTTCCTATGAACAAATCTCTTCTTTTTCAATTCATCTTATTATTTTTTTCATCTATTTATATTTCACCTCATAATTTTTATCTGGCTCCAAAAGAGTAGTTGACTAATTTATCCTAGTAAAGATGCTGAAGGTGGTTCCAATAAAGATAAACATTCTCCTCACCTCATAATACAGGTTTTCTGGACTCCCTTCCAACAATGAGAAATCTATACATACGTGGTGTTTCCCTTCAGAAAGTTTGCCTTTCACACCATACTACCCCCTTGGATCTGATCAAATTTGCACCTGAGAGGTGTACTGGAAAAATCTGATTAATGTGCATCATTCTCACTCATTGCTTCTCACTGTAGGAAGCATATCTGTTGGGACATTTTAAGATAATATATTTGAGCTTCATCTCCAGAGATTATGACTCAGAAGTTCTGGGGTTTTACATACTCCACAGGAGATGCTGATGCATAGATAGAATTGAAGGCCACTGTCATAGTTCAATTTTCAAATCCATCAGTATTTTATCTAGTGAGTTTGTTCTTTTGAAAGACATCCTCAACTTGGCCACAACTAAATTCTCTGATACTGTAGGTAGATGCAAAAAGATAAGTTAACAGAGGGATAAACAATACTCTATTTCTTTAGAAAGATGTGTCTGCTAAGTAGAAGTAATCCTTTAGTATGTTTAGTATATATTACATTACCTGAATCTATGGATAGAAAGGAAAATAGGTGGATACATACATATATACATATAGTTATAAATATTTCCTAGATCATAGGCATCATAGACATGAGGAGAAAAAATTGCCAGAACTGCATTTTTTTTTTTTTTTTACCAAATACTCTAGTTATATTAGTGAAGGATCTTTGTCTGGAAAACCAGTCAATCTTCTGGATAAGGTCTATATTTTATCTCCTCTCAACTGAAACAGTTTTATAACACATACATAAAAGAAGTGTCTACATATAATACAAGACATGCCATCAGAAATGCATTGAATGTCTTTTATATGCCAAGGTACCTTCCCACAGGAAATTCAGAGTTTATTGTGAGAGTAAAATATGTAAATAAGAAAAACAACATAAGCTCAAAGAGCACACGTACACACAAGATATTCTTGGGACACTTCGAGGTTTGGGACCACAGGGAACAATTCTTGGAAGAGATTACAACTTGATTTTCTTTTTGTGGCGTCTCATTATTCAAATGTAATATGATATAACCTGACATTTATAATATTTATGTCTTTTGTGAAAGATGAGACCCAAGAGAGCAATGCGGAGTGAGGTAATATGGCATGGAATTTGTGTGGCATTTCAAAGTATGAAAGTATTAAAACACATGTATGCTTTATTATCAGTAAAACTCTATGTATCAGTAAAGAAGGAATATCCATAAATGAAATTCTACAGTTGGAGTATATCTCTCACAAGAAACATATTCTTATGAAAATTACATTTTAACTGGTGGCCCTGGGACACTATTATGACATTATTTTGAATCCAGGTTTTGAGAGAACTTGTTGAATTTTACCCGTATTGTTATTGCAATCTTGTACAAATTGAGACTTCTCCAACTGGGAAAAAAGATAATAAAAAATCACATTAAAACAAGGCATGAGTATAGGATTTAATGTTGTGATTAAAAAAATATTTTGTAGTTTCAATTGTCTATTTCAGAGAAGTACATATTGATTTCTCAATATAGGTAGGCACATATTTTGGGACAAAAGCAGTGTCAATATTTAAGCTAAATCTTTATTGAATACCTATGTTCCCCTTGGAGTTGGAGCTTCAGAGATGAATGAGACATAGGCAGGAGCTTGCTTATACTCTTCATTGAGTTAAAACGTTTTTTCTTAAAATAACCCCACTATCTCATGCACAGTGAGTGTCTGGTATGATTTTTTTTTTTTTTTGCCTTTTGCTGCTCTCTGACACATTTGAGGCTTACTGTATCTAGGAAGCAATACAAAATTTACAAAATCAGCAAGTTAATCTGATTGTCTTAATTTATATAGAAATTTTGATTAAATAGATTCACAGTGCTGCGGTCCCGTTCTTTGAACATTCGATACAGTATTTAGCTTCATTATTCATTCAATAATTATTGGAAAGGTTGTATAGCACTATGATAAACAATGTAGACTTCTGAGTTAGCAAATTGAGTTTGCTTCTGGACTGCATGAATCACTTGGTTACGTGAGATTATGCAAAGACAGTTTCATCATTTGGAAGATGGACATAGTAATAGGACTTATCTCTTAAGAATGCTTGAGAGAATCATATGAGGTAATATATGTACTGTTTTTAGTGTACTGGTAGAAACATGGAAAGCATGCCCCAAATGTTAACTAAACAAAATGACCATACAATTTATTGTGAAACTTGGAGACTTTTGAGAGCAAAAGGAAAGCAGTATTAATAAGTACACTAGAACAACAGGTACAAATCCAGGGCAAAAATGGATGCAAGTCAATCTAATAAAAAACTACATTGCTGGCCAGCCAGGTGGCATAGTGGCTAAGTTCCTGCACTCCGTTTCAGTGGCCCAGGGTTCGAAGGTTCAGATGCCAGGCCCAGACCTACGCACTGCACATCAAGCCATGCTGTGGCAGCATCTCACGTATAAAGTAGAGGAACATGGGCACGCATGTTAGCCCAGGGCCAATCTTCCTCAGCAAAAGGTGGAGGATTGGCAACGGATGTTAGCTCAGGGCTAATCTTCCTCACCAAAAGAAAAAACAACAACAACAAAAGAACCCCCAACTACATTGCAGACACTCAGTCTCAGCAATTTTATATTCTACATTGGATTTCTCTCAAAGTAGACAGTCCAAACCCAGCAATCACTTTGCTCTGGGCAAATTCTATATTTACAATATTGATGTAATTCCTACTAGACCTTGATTCCTAAATGAAAGCCAAAAGTGAGAGAAGTTTTTGAGTAGTTTTCTTTAACATGTGCAGCAAAGAAAAAGCCTAAATAAGATTTTGAAATATCAAAAATTACTATTTTTAATTTGTCTTAATTTTTATTCAACTAAGATAAATTTGTTACCAATTTGAGATTGTTTTAGAACAAAATTCTTAACTACTTTTATACAGAATATGTCATTTTCTGAATTTACTTGGTTTATTTTCTATTACTGCCATAAATTTTTTTTTCCCTAGGAACTCATTAAAAACTTTAAAACGTTTGTAAACTTTTAAACTCATTATAAACTACTAAAAGCTGTTAAAACATAATAAAACAAAGTTTTATTATTATCACTTATTATTAAAACATAAAACAAAGCTTTTTTTATGTTTAAAAGCCTTTCAAAATATTGGAGCTAGAAACTATCAACAGATTTGTTCTCATATAAATTGCTCCTGCTTGTATTTGAATTAACACTTATAAAATAAAGCATCTAATTAATGCCATTTTTCATTGCTATTCTAAATGAATTAGAACTAAAATTAACCTTTTATTGAGGCATAAAGTTTATGTCATATAAAAAAAAAACACAGCCATGATAGCCTTACAATTTTTTTTCAATTAGACTCATATCATTAAATGAAATACAAAGAGGAATAAATGATTCAGAGAATGTTCTTTTTCATTCAAAGAGCCTTTTTTATCCCAATGTAACATAATGAGAATTTGTCATCCCTGGGAGAATTTTAAATACAACGAATTCCCTTTACTTCTGGAGAATGAGACTTTCCTGAACAAGAGGAACAAGAGTCAGTGCCATTCCTTCCTAGAGTCTCTCATCTGAAAATAATCGAATCATTACTCCAGGTAAATTAATTTCACTTTTCACTTTTCTGGGACAAGGAGTTTTAATTTTTATTATAATAAAACAGTTACATATTTTAAATAGATGTTATGCAGGAACATTCTCATTAAGACTTGCTGCATTATCCAGAGAGACAGTAAAATGTTAACTCATAATTTGCAAATAACTTCCTTAAAGAGAGTCTTCTTCCTTAAAGAAAGAGGTCGCTATTGCCTTTACTTCACATCTGAAAACAAGAATGAATTGTGAGAAGTCGTCTAATCCACCAAATAGAGTTATGCAAAAAGATTTATCCATTTTTAAAAGACAAATTATTTTTTCAACTATCTTCAATTTCCATTCCAATTTTTAAAATTAATCACAGTACTTTGATATCCTTCTAAAGATTCTTACTGTTGAATTCTTAGCTTACTCCCCTTCAGTAGTCAGAGTTCAAGAGTATCTGGTTTTTATACTGTGAAAAGTAATCCTTCATAAACCTAAACTTCTGTAGGTGCAGCAAGTCATCTCCGCCTCCCGCTTCATGAAGATTTCTATCGCAAAAAGCTATAATATTCTTTAAGGTTCCCAAACAGATCATATTTTCACTCCCCTGAGTGTCTTCATACATGCTGTTTCCTCATTTCTTTATCTACCCTATTCACCTAGTTAGTTCCTATACATTCTTCAAATTTCAGGTTAAATATTTTTAAGGAAAAAAAAACTTTAAAGAAAAGCCTTTTCTGACTTAGTTGGAGCAGTTCCTATTCCTCATCTACATCCCATCTTACACTTTTTCATAAAAGAAGAATCTCAGAACAGCCACTAGTCAGTGCCTACACTTGAATGAATGTCATTATTCCTGAGGCCAAGAATGAAAGAAACAAGTGACACAGCTTAAGGCAAATTTTTCACAATGAAGGCAATTAATGATTTGTCATTGCTTGTTGTCCAACAAAATGCGGTGACATTTGCATTGTCTTGTGGCAATAACAGATATTATAGATGATAAAAGGTTTTCAGAACTGCAGTTGAAGAATATAAGAGGAAAACATTAATTTTTGACTAGTTAATATCTGAAAAGGCATTGTGTACAATAGATTATTTGAAGAGACTTTAAAAATACATGAAGATGGCTTCTTCGGCATGTGGATGTGACAGCAAGGAAATTTCAAAGTGGAGAGAACAAATGAAAAGAGAGGTTCAAAGATGAAAAAAATATAAGGAATCTTGGGGCAGGGCAAGAACTCTACTAGGTAGGATGAATTTTGTGGTGGATACAGAACTACCCAATTTTGGGAGATTAACTAAGGATAGAACACAGGGAACTGCAGTGAGAATGTGAGAATGTTGTGCCTAAGTTCAGTAACACTACCCGACATCAGAAATCTCTGATCCTTCATCTGCGTTTTTGGTTGGGAGAAATTTTATCTAAAATGAAGACTACATGAGAGAAGTAGAAGAACAGTTGAAATGAATTGAGAGTGAGAGGATGCATGGGAGAATTCTTAAAGTTTTCTTTATAAGAGTCTCACTTTATGTAGGGAGGAAAATATATATACACAATAGTGTTACACTCCTCTCTCGTTTGTTTTTCTAAATTCAGACTTCACTTAGGTTTCATAAAATGATTATGTTTCCGTAAAATGTACACTGAAACAGAGATAAACTTACACTGATCAGGATGACCTTGCTATAAGAGAGATGTTTGTACCAAGTATGAATCACAAGATGATCATGAGATCATCTCTAGCTTGTCTGGGGCTGGGAATATGACAATAGAGGATGGATAGTGTGTTAGGTTCTTAGGGCTGCCATAATAATTCACTACCAAATTGCTGACTTAAAATAACAGAATTTTATTCTCTCACAGTTTTGGAGGCCAGGAGTCTGAAATCTGGGTGTTGGCAAGGCCAAGCTCCCTTTGGAGGCTCTGGGGTTGAATCTTGCCTTGCTTCTTCCAGATTCTAGTGGCTCCAAGGGTTCCTTGGCTTGTGGCAGCATCACTGCAATCTCTGCCTCCATCTTTAAGTGGGTCTTCACATGGCCTTCTCCACTATGTGTCTCTGCATCTTCTCCCCTTCTCTTTTCTAATAAGGACATTTGTGGTTGGATTTAGAGCCCACTGTAATCCCAGATGATTTCATCTCACAATTCTTAAGTATATCTGCAAAGACTCTCTTCCAAATAAGGTCACATTTACAGGTTCCAGGGGTTAGGACATGGATATAACTTTTGGGGAGCAACACACTAGAGATAGCTAGTACTACTCTCTTCTTTGATCCAATACTCACAAATATTTACTTCCAAGATCATGTCTTGAAACAATGTCTAATTCAATAGAAGTACTAAGATAGGCTATGAAGAGACTTTAATTATCTACTCTAGGTTTTTTGTTTTGTTTTGTTTTGTTTTTTATTTTTTCCCCCAAAGCCCCAGTAGATAGCTGCATGTCACAGATGCACATCCGTCTAGTTGCTGCACGTGGGACGCGGCCCCAGCGTGGCCGGAGAAGCGGCGCGCCGGTGCACGCCCGGGATCCGAACCGGGGCCGCCAGCAGCGGAGCGCTTGCACCCAACCGCTAAGCCACGGGGCCGGCCCTAATTATCTACTCTAGAAGTCAACTATAACAAGGAATAGTCAAACATTTTATCACTTTGGTTTGAATATTCTCAAAATAGGGCAGAAAAATGAACTATCAAGGAACTAGATTTTATTTTCCTTTTATACCTCAAGTATTGATTCCATTCTAAGGCAGCACCTATCAATGAATGTCTTTTTTATTTTTGTTTAAGAAATTTAGAAAACATTCTCTGTATAAATCTTCGTATGAAAATAAACAATAAAAGAAGTGGTATTTGCCAATTGTTCATTAGAGTTGGGAATTGTAAACACGTTATATTTCATATTGAGTTATGTTCATCAGTGAGACATCATGAAAAAAAAAGTAGCTTACCTGCAAAGTCTTGAAAGAAAGGTCAGATTTCAAAAGGAAGGGCTTTCCAAATAGAAAATACTACAGGAATTAAAAAAAAAACTCCCAAGTTTACAGTTAACTGGTGGGAAAATGGCTGGTTTCTCACACAATTATCAGGAACAGGAGAATCATTACATATCTGTAGATATCAGCCTTGTAAATGTCATAGATAAAATATTTTGTTGTTCTTGTTGAGGAATCAGAAACATATGAAAAGGGTAGATTTTTTTCTAGTTGAGGAGTTGTTCTATACAGAGTTATTCTGGGTTTTCTTGTATTTTTTATTTCAGGGTACAAAGTGGTTAGTTTTATTTTATGACTTTATTTTACATGATTACACCTCATGGTGGCAGAACAAGATACCAGTTTTGCTTTCACAGTGCCTCCTTCTGCTCAAGGATTTGTTCACATAAGCTTTTTTAGCTACTTTCTGACTTGGTACCATTAGTGTGAAGTTTTGCTTATTTTGAATTTTTTTTAACATATGTATAATAAGAGATATTGGTTAAAGCCACTATGTTAACATAATGGCGGCCATATGAAATTAAAGTGTGAGGATTAACATCTGTCTGGAGGACTCATAAAGTCTCTGTTATCGTAATTGTGATTACTTTCATAAACCAGAATTATTTCTCTTGCACTTATCTACTTGTTTATCAAGATCAAAAAAAAGAGCCATCCGATTTACCTCTATCAGATTTCCTTTGAACCCTCTTTGACTGTAAAGGCTTCTCTTTTTTCTTACTGATATCTCCTATTTTGCCAATATTTCTTGTCTATATAAAAGTGATATTAATTATTTAATGACAGTAATTACATAGTCTAAGAGGATTTATAGGCATCATTTCACACATGAAGTAGAGTCCTTGTTGCTTAACAGAGGACTTAGCAGACCTAATTAAATGATATTTGACTTTAAATTTGACATTTTTAGCATAGTCATGATTATAGATTTGATTTTTCTGAATAAAGCCTAGTAAAAAACGACAGACAATTTTATTGGCCTATGAAAATGATTATGCAGTCATGAATAGTAAAAGAAATCAATTAATTCTTTTTGCATGATATTTAACCATTGTTTTATGTGGTATTGTATTCAAGATCGATTAATACATGGCACTACCTCGAGAATCATTATTGTTTCCATGATCATTTATTTACTTTTAATGGTAAGAATTTTCTTATATTATTTTATAAATTCAGAGAGATCAGCTAAGACAAGATTCCATTTAAAGTGGATTTAATTTCAGTTTGTACAGATACAGCCTGCTAAATTGAGGCTATAGATACAATAACAGAATGATTTAAAATTTCTCAGTTACATTCTAGGCTAGTTAATTCTTGTTCTGTTGATCTTGGGTTAGTGGTAGCAATATTTTTCAAAAACTCACCTGCTACTGGACTAAATGAGTCATGAAAATCCTGATCAATCACCTGATGTGTCTGAAAAATGTCAGTTTATTGTGGGATGTCATCTAATACGGTGAAGCCTGTTCTCATGAGTCTGTTGCTTGTATTAATAAAGAGTACCTTGTACTGTCCTTAATCTCATATTATTCTTTTGATGTTTCTTCCAGAAAAGTCAGCTTCTGATCTGTAGCTTGTAGCATAGGCCTTACCACAAATGTACAGAAACAAAAACAAAAACCAGAATTCACCTAATGACGATGATGATAAAACTGAATAGTTTGATTATTACAATACACATTATTTTAGGAGAAACTAGTCAATGATTACACTGAAAGTAAGAACGTCAATTTGTTGTCCATTATTGTCCCTGTGTTTGTACAAGAATATGAATGTACTTTTACCTATCCTGAATGGTACACACTTGAAACACATTTATATAAATTACATTTTATTGTCTATAAATAATGTAACTGTAAATATAATTAAAATTATAATAAATAATTATAAAATATTCTGAATCAAAAAAGTCATAGCAAAATTTTAAATATTTTTATTTCTACTTAAATATTTTATTAATTTAAATATTTTATATTTCATCTTTATTTTTATTTGAAATAAAATATAAAATGCCATATAAAAATTATGGGATGCAGCTAAAGCAGAACTTAGAAGGAAATCTATATACTTGAGTGCATTAGAAAAGAAGAAAGCCTCCATCTCAAAAAGTAAATATGTCTACTTCATGACGTAAAAAATAAAGGACAGAAAAATGAATGTAAAGAAAGGAAAGATGCAGTAAACATTAAAGCAGGAAATAATAAATTAGAAAACAACAGAGAAGTTAAGAAAGCTGCCATCTCACTCCCAGAGGTGGTGATATGCTTTTTTCTCCATGCATGGGTGGAAGATTTTTTTCATTTTTCTTTTATTCTCATTACTCATGTGAAAAGGATAGGGAAACGTCAGCATTCTACTTTCTTCATATCTATTCCTGGATCACTAGTCCTCCAACTCAGGTAAAAATCCCTCTCCATTTAAAATGATGGAATTATAACAATAGCTCCTTTTCTGCCCCATCTTTTCCCTCTTTATTATAGTCCTTCATGTCATTAGCCACTTTTATGAAAGTTTCTGGCAATCTAGCTTAAGATTTATCTTAAGGGTTTATGTTAAGAATTTAAAACAAAAACAAAATAACTGTGGCTGACTTATCCAACAACCTATCTTGGATCTATTCAACTTCAGAAACTTAGAAACTTCAGTATATCATTCTGTGACCATAGCCTTTATGAAGTAGCAAACAAAGAAACAAGAAATGTAAGTAAAAGAAAATTAGGACACTTGCAGTATGTAGGTGTGTGATTAGTGAAACTTAAGATTTTAGAGATCAATTTCATGTGAAATGAAAGTCTATGTTGTGATAAAATCAGTATTATTGGAGTCAATGTTATTAGTCATTTACATCATCAATATCTCCATCACTTTGATCCCTCCATTTTGTCCAACATTAGCAAATAATTCCTTTCCTCACCTTCTGACCTTGAACTTGAAGTATCATATGGAGAGTTACTTGGAGCAGGATTCTATTTTCAAGCCTCCTTTTTTTTTATTTTTTAGTTGATCAGTTGATCTCTCTACTCCACATCCAT